AACGTTTAGGTGTTACAGTGGTGTGTGTGTGTTTCAGATGAGCTCTGTCCGTGCTTTACTAAGAGTGACAGGAATTCCAGTGTGAAATGTGATTTTCCTCCTGGAAGTGAACCGGTCCCGTGCTCCGCTCTGTCTTGCAGTTCGAGGAGGATGTCGAGGAAGGAGGCAGCGGGGCAGAGGGGGGTCATGGGAGAAGGAAAAGGCTCTTCTCCAAAGAACGTGAGATTTTCCATTGGCTTCCCTCTGACGTCGCCTCGTGGCACAGGAGCTTGTTTGTTTTATACGCGAGACACGCATGTCCCGATTTAAAGCTTCATCCTTCTCTTTTCTGCCAAAAAGCAGTCAGGGCTCGTTTTACTGCTGTCAGCTTTAGTCAACAGGACAATTCTAAAGCTTCAACAGAATATTTTTGGGGGCCTCTGCTTAATGGGAATATTCGTGAAGTATTTACCTCAGCTATTTTTTACGTAAAAAACAACTAACAAAATTATAGAAATTTCCTCAGCTTTTTATCATAAAACTGCGAAATGCAGAGTAGTACCAGTGTACTTTTTCATATCAGAATTCCCCTCCTGCTGCAGTCGTCAGCAGTCGTAATGTGTTTTCAAAGGTGCTGTACCTTGTTGATAGTTACATACTTCAAGACTTTGATGTTATTTTTTGGGGGGTTCTTGTTTTTTCTTATCATCTTCTCTCTTGCTTTTGTCTTCATGTAGTAATAATAATAATAATAATAATGTGTGCCATTTCATTAACAATTGTAGCCTCAATTGCAGTTTTGTGTGGTATTATCTCCCTCACACGCAGTTCGATGCATGATGTATGGATTCGGGGACGATCAGAACCCCTACACCGAGTCTGTGGACATTCTGGAGGATCTTGTGATAGAGTTCATCACAGAAATGGTACGTTGTGAGCACAGCTGCTCTGTTCTGCCTAGCAGTGTGAGCCTGAGTTCGAAGGGTGAGCTTTGCAGATGAGAACATTCATTTAGTCGAGCTCTGGGAAGCAAATGGAGGTACAGAGGGTCCCTGTTATTAGTCACCGTAATATGCATCAATATTCATTGCTTCAGCTGTACTTCATCAGTTAATTAAGGAGCTATATTCATTTTGTTCGCACGATTATGCACTTTTTCAATGAACCAAAACCCAGCAATGTAGGCTGGCTGGCAGGCGCTGCAGTGTGCTGCGATGTGGCCCTCTGAACGCACTGCGAATGTACATATCGTATCTTTATATATTTGTTGGAATTGATGGGGAAAAAAAAAAGTGTTGGTGTGAGGTTTAGTTCTATTCACAAGAGGCAATGTGTCACACTTCCACTTTCCAACATATCAATTCCATTTCCCTGGTAAGAATAATAACATTTGTCTCATCAGTTTTGATTTGTTGTTTTTATGGGTTTTAGGTACATTTTATGTAAATACATGTCTGAACTGATTGTGTTAGGAATGTATCTCAAGCTAATTACATTATTCCTCATGTATATTAATTCCTCTTTCTTGCTACAAGTTGCTTTATTTAGGAACCTGCACTTGTAGCAGGGGCCTCTGTAAGGGTAAATAAATTCTTCATATTACTCATGTGGAAGACATCTGTTCTCTGCAGTACTAAAACTCCACAGCATGTGCTATATAGTGCACTTCTGAATAATTTAGTTCGGTGTTTTCCAGTCCTACTCCTAGAGGACCACACACATGCTAAGTTCTGATCCAGCTGAGATGTCTGCTACACAATTGAACTCCTTAATTGACTTAATAACAGAATTAATTTGACCTGTGTGACTGTTTTCAGCTCTTGTACATGTTGGAGGTTGTCTTTGAACTATTGCATTTCATAAATAAAATTCCAAGCAAGATGAGAAAAAAATTGATTTTTTTTAATCAAGCAACTAGTTAGTTCAAGCAAGACTTGTTCAGGTAATTAATGTAATGTGTTTTAAAGTGTGTTCTCCACCCCAGATGTAGATAATAGTAACAGAAACATTGTGTTTTAATTAGTTGATCATGAAAGTTTCTGTTCAAAATAGACAGATCATGTTGCTTATTTGTTGTTCAGTGTGAGTTTTGGCTTGTGGAAGACTTATGGACGTTTCTGTTTTTCCTTATTCAATCCACAGACGCACAAAGCCATGTCTATTGGGCGACAAGGTCGAGTTCAAGTTGAAGATATTGTGTTTCTCATCAGGAAAGATCCTAGAAAGTTTGCGAGGGTCAAGGATCTGCTGACTATGAATGAAGAGTTGAAAAGAGCCCGAAAGGCCTTTGATGAGGCTAATTATGGATCTTAGTTTCCAAAACCAAATCTCTAGGGCCTATTTTTTACTGAACTGTTAAATTTTATGGATTTTGTTTGTGCTTGACACTAGAATTTGTATTGAAAGTTCCGTGTGTTGTAGAAATGTGTACATGTCTGAAATGTAACATTTAAATTCTCTCAAAAGTTAAATATTTTGCAACAGCCATGTTTATGTTGTTTTTCTGTAGATAATAAAGTTGCTTCGCACTTTCCCTACATTTGGCAACCGACAGTAATTATCACGTGGTTTATTAATGGAACAGAACTCGCCAAATTCGTACAGTGCTTAAGCTTACAGCAGGTCACTCATAATGTTAGTCTCATTTCCTCACTTTCTTAGTATGTGATGGAAAAATAATTGAACATGTTCTTACTTACACTGAAAGCTTGGAGAATTCCCATTTATTCTACAAGATCTTACTGGAGCACCAGGAGAGTCTTACTCAAGGCTACAACGGTACCCCTCCCACCTGGGATTTTAACCTCTGACTTCCTTATCCGGAGTTCAGAACTCTAACCAAAAAAAAAAAACACATTCCGCCATGACGGAGACAAGCATCACAGAAATTTCCTAGCGAGCATCCGTAAGCAGTGGATTGAAAACAGCACGATAGCCTGTTTGTTTTTTAAATCTGATTTTTTAACAACAAAAAAAACCCTTTCTTAAAAAATGTAAACACTTTGAAAACTGGGTAGATTACAGCATGCTTTTGAAAGAAATCCCCTTATGCCGCAGTACATGTAAGAGAGTGTTTCCTGTCCTCTCAATTACAACTACTTAAAATGCAGAAGAAGCATTTGCATCTCTCTTACTTTAACAAACTTTACAAACTGTTTGTCCCAGGAGCAACCAGATTATTTGAAGTACAACAGATTTCTTTTGGCATATCGTGAGCGAGGGTAAGTCATTAAGTTTCAATGTCTCAGGTGCAGCTGTAGCTATACCACTGCGAATGGACAATGTGATTGTAGCTGTGATTGTGGGTTGTGTGCGCAAACTTAATTCCTACAATAATAGTGGTATGGAATGTGTAGGGAATGTGTTTGCAGTATTAACTTTTTGTACATAATTCCATAAGATTATAGATTATAAGATTGAACAAGATTATTAAATGTACATTGTTGTCAAAATAAAAAATCAGACCTTTTCAGTAAAAGCAAAAGTATTTTTTTGTGATTTAGTATTGGTTTATGATGTAGCATAAATACAGTTTTCTGGAAAAAATATGCTGAGAGGTATTAAAAACACAAGTTCTATTGGTTTCAATACTCATTTGATGTATTTTTAATGCTGCACATTTATTAGTGACCTGATCTGCCGGAATCTGGCTCTGACAGTCTGTTGTTTGGCTTAGTAGGTCAGATTTAATAACAAGAAAGAGGATTGTTCTCTCTAACCCAGGAGCCAGTGCCAAACTCCAGCCACACATTGTCCCCAAGACTGACAATTGTGAAACTTTCATCTTTTGAAGTTGTTAATGTAACTTGAAGCCCACCTAGGAAAAAAAAAGGTCTAATCAGTGAAGTTTAAAACGGCTTTTTTCAATGAAAAGTAAATCATTGGGGCAGATTTCTGTTAATGAGACGAGTATTTTCTCTGTCAATTCTTCTGTTCTTTATAAAGCACACTAGAATTTCTGCTGTAGCTGGGAAAGACATGAAAGCACACTTGCTTTCGCATGACTTGACAGCTGCAGCAGACATAAGAACCACCCACGGAGGAGACCTGTTGACTAAACATTATGCAGGTTGATTCTGACGTTCTTATTTTGTAGGTGTTTTTTTAAAAAAAGGGAATTTCTGTTGAGGTTAAGAAAAACAAAATCACCTTGTAAGCATACACCCCTTGTGATGAACTCTTTAAAAAGGGATTAAGATTCATTCTGTAGCCCTGTATTCAACTAAAACTTGGATTGCATGAAGTCCTGCAATGACTTAGCCAACAGCCGCAGTTATCTAAGGTGACGTGCATTTACTAGAGGGTCTGAGCTATAAAAAATTAACTAGTGTCAAAGTTCGTGTGCAATGGTATAGCAACACATTTTAAATTCCAAATAATTCCACGTGGTCCTGGGATAGTCTCTTGCCTGTCAGCGCTCAGTTTTCCGATCATGCATGCGTGGACATAGTAGAGTAGGTGCTCAATGCCCGTCAAATCTGTCTTCCTTAAGGACGAGCAAAAAAACCCAACCAACCAACCAACCAACCACAAGGACCGGGATGAGGTCGGAAAACCCGGCTGGCTGCTTCCTCCGGTCTCGGAAGTGTGAGCTGATCGACTGCTTCCAGAGCGACTCCAGCTACATCCTGCAGGTGTGCCACTCCCGGGACCTGCTGACGGGCTGGCAGTACCAGCACATCAAGAGCACGGCCTGCCCCGTGGAGAGGGTGACCGAGCTGCTGGACGCCGTGCTGTTCCGCGGCGAGCGCTGCTGCTGCGAGTTTCGGACCCTGCTCTGGGAAGTGCAGGACAGCTACCCCCGGCTCAGCCAGCTGCTGCGGCAGCCGCCCGGACCGACAGGCAAGGCAGCCCGCTGCCCAGGCAGCTCTCCCCGAAAGAGGCGGGCAGGCGCCCTGCAGAGAGCCCCCAGTATATCGAGCCCCGATGCGAATCTCCACCACTAGCCCGTCAAGCGTAACGTGTGGTTTACTAATTAGCTTTTATTTTCTCAAGCTAAAAAGAGGGTGGAAGTCAGATCTTTAGGTTTAAATGCCGCAATTCAATCGCTCACAAATTGAGGAAGACGAAAAAAAAGGCTGTGATGTCAGAAGACCATCTAGTCTGTTTGGTTGTCGTTAGTAGCTCATTGAACCCAGGATCCCATCCGTCTGTTTCTCGAAAGGGTATGAGCTTTCATAAGCATGGCTGGGTAGCTTGCTCTGTACGCCCACTACCCTACCGGGGAAGGAGTGCCACCCTGTCTGCGGTTTAACTGCACGTCCACCTAGTTTGCTGTCACATCGCCTGGTTCGTGTTTCACCACCGGAAATATCTCGAGTACTTGTGCATCAGGTGCCCCTGTCGCGTTTCTGTTCAGGGCCAGAGAGGTTCGGTTCCTTCAGCCTCTCAGTGTGGGCTTAAACCCCAGAAAGCTTTCCATAACCTTGAAATGTAAAACATTATCCCTCCCAAAGCCGGTGTATACTGTGGGTCAGATGCCTCTGCTCTGTTAGAACGTGAATCATGAGGATTCGTTAAAGAACGACTGTGGTGTCCAGAACCTTTTTTTTTATTTATGCTTAACAAAAGAGCAAAAATTACAATACAAACAAGAGTACATATAACAATTCAAAACAAAAATATCCTCAGGGGTACATACTACTACATAAAATTCAAGTTATGAAAAAAGATGAAACAAATTAAATAAAAATAATGTCCGCACCCCTTTCATATTTTTGCATTTCGAAATAGTCTGCAAATACCCCTTTACTTCCATTTTAAAATGCTCAAACACAGGGTACCTCCCAGACCATTTCATTTTATGCATGTGATAACGTGCCAGTATAATAGTGAAAAGTATATCCGGATATTTGTCCTTATAACGATTTGATCCGTTCCGCAGGTCGCAGTGTAGCATCGGCCCCGGCAGGCGCCTGCCTCCTGTCCATCAGCTCGTTAAGACAGCCGGCGGGGGGCGACATGGCCGCCGACCACCCGGAGCCCCTGCGGCAGCCCCCCAGCCCGGACAGGCCGGTGATCTGCTGCCTGCCGCAGTGCCTGTTCTGGTGAAGCCCCGCAGCCCGACCTGCAGAGCCCCCGGGGGCCCGTTGTGCCTGCTGCCCACGGGAGAGTCACCAGGCCGCTTTGAACTGACTCGACGGGGTTGTCATCAGACGGCCGTGGTCATTTAGTGGGTTAACAGCGGACACTCAGCAGCACGCAGGGACACGGCGCTTGAACCATTACCATTTCAGGGGCTGCTGCTGCCGAGGAAGGATAGACAGTTCTGCTTAAAAAAAAAGGTCTCTCTACTTGGGTCGAAGAATTCATCCAGGTGGATGCTGCACACTGGTGGCGGTGGAGGGGATCCCCATTACCTGTAAAGCGCTTTGAGTGGAGTGTCCAGAAAAGCGCTATATAAGTGTAAGCAATTATTAGTTGTTATTATAATTATTATTGATTAATTAATTAATTCCCGTGACTCTTGAGGTGAGCAGGAGCAGGAGCAGTGACTCGTTACGTGAGTCAGCAACAGGTACCATGACGTCTGAGGTGGAAACCCTTCTCAACCGCGAACAAGGACTTAAGGAGATGATGCAGCAGGAACTTTCTCCCTACCAGCATAAAAAAAACTGCGATGCTTCAGAGCTTTCAAGTTCTCTCAAGTGTAACCAAGCCCCCCCCTTAACACAGCATATTTTAATCTGCAGGTTCAAAATGCCCCAAAAAACCCTATAGCTGGTCTTCAGGTTGCTGCTGTGGATCATTCTAATGGATCCTAATCTCCCCGTGACAGCGGCAGGAGCAGAGGAGTTTTTCAGAGCTCAAGTTGATTAAAACATACCTGAGGTCACAACTATAGGCAGCTTTTTAATAAAACGTCCCCATCTGCACATCTGCTCCGCCTTACTGATCTCACCTCCTGTGTTATTGAGTGTACTTGTTTTTTTATTTCTTAATTTTATACTTATTTCTGTAATCTCCTTCTGCGAAGGTTTCAGTGCAGTACTTTGTAAATTATGATTTGCTAGAATTGGGAAGTACCAAAGATCCTGTTTATTATTATTTATTGTTATAAATGCTCCTTTTTACTATTTTCAATGTGAAAATACGTCATCGTTTTACCGTTTTGGAAACTGTGTGCCTTGTGTTCTTCATAATTTTATTTTTTATGTATTCTGCAAAGCTGGTTCATAAAACCTTTTAGTTGAACGATCAACAAATATATTGACAATTAATTAATGATAATAACTAATAATAGGCGCTAATAATAGTAGTGTCTGTGCAAATTTTGATCAGATCTGGGGGGAGTCTTGCCAGGGCGGGCTCTGAACTCATCCAGTCCTTATCAGTGTACCAATACCGCCGTCTGCACCTGGATATCACAATAAAACAGCTGTATCCTGTTTCTTTGTTTCTGAAAAGGCTTCACGGGGAATGAACAAAACTCACCGGTTTTAAGCACTTTTGAAAAACAGCTTTTGCGCTTACGACGAACTGGCTGTTTTAAACGGTGGCAAGTGTTGAAGACCCCCCTCTTACATTATTTTAGTCTTTTTAGATTTTACTAACTTTTAAAAAAATATATATTAAACGTATAAAGAATTTCCAAATCCAAATACAACCAGAGGATCAGAAACAGGTTCAAGAGAGGAAAAAAAAAACCTAAACAGAAAAAAAAAACAATTAACTGCCAGGGGTAATGCAGTAAATTATGCGATCAAATTGTATTTTTTACATGTACCAAATGTTTTCCTTGCTTTAAGTTTTACTAACTTCCAGCGGACGTAAAAGAAAAAAAAAGCGAACTTATTTTTCCCACCAGAAAGAAGCACCAGGTGGCGCATTAGCGCAAGATCCAGACACCGAATGAGTGGCCTCTTTTTTATTTTTGGAACAGCCAAACAAAATGCTCACACCCGAAGAAGGCTCCACAAACCGAAACGTTGTGTTCTCTTTCTTCTTCTTTTTTTTTCCCCCAGCAGGGAATAAACCTCTTACTTGTTCCTTTGCAAACACAATGTTTGTGTTCTTAATCCGTCGCATCGGTGCCACGTCGAGAAGAGGAGGGCTACCTTCACCCCCAAGCACACGCTCGGAAAGTGTCACTGACGCTGGGTTTAAAACGGTGCTTTTTTCCATACCAGGAGCTCAAATCCAAGTGCGTGTGCGTGTGCGTGTGCACCCCCCCCGACACAGGCGGAGGGGTGGGTGTTGCAGGGGGGGTCCAGGGGGATCCGGAAGCGGCGCCGGAGTGATGGAGGCGCGCGCGGCCAATCGCGCGGCGGCGGGGGCGGAAGGGCTCCTCGCGCAGGCAGCCCAGGGTGATGCTGCAGCGGCTGGAGCTGCAGCCGGGAGAAAGTTACCTGCGCGGCGCCGTCAGGTGAGGCTCCGACCTGCGCCGGCTTCTCCTTCGCTGCTGTCGCTCCGGCTTCCGTAGGAAATGAAAGGCGACGTTTCCCTCCCCCGCCCCGGTAACGGTGAGACGTCTTTCTCAAACTGTCTGGGGGGTCGGGGAGAAAAGCGAAGCTCGTTATCTTTTCCGGCCGAGGTAGTGCGACGCAGCTGTCATGTCTCTGGTGTTTTAACGATGCCAGGGTGCGAGGATCCGACCTTCAAGTCAGCAAAGGTTCCCGAAAGTGTGCTGCTGGAGGTGAGCTCTAAAGAAACTCGCTGAGACGGGGCTGTTTCAGTAAAAATGTGGCAGCTTTTATAGGCTCGCGTTCACATTGCATTGTTGCCAGGAAAAAAAGTCCAACCGAAACGTTCCTGGAATAGAGACTGTAACGCATACGGCCTCCATTGCTTGATGTATGCAAATTATGAACTCAGGGACGAAAAAACATCAGCCACGTAGTCAGGACTGTGTGCTTGTCTGGAGCTCAGCGAGCAGTGTAAGACAGAAAGCCTTACCTCCTGTCGTCTTACTTAGGCACTGTACTTGTTGTTCAGTTAACGTGCATGCTCTGCAGTTCTTGAGCACACGCACCAAAGCATTGTGCGCACTATAGCAGACCGATCGCCCAAATAAAATGAGTGCTCGCTGCATTTAGTCAAATCAAGTACTCCGATAGTAACTTATTAAGATTTTGGTGTCGCTTTGAATAATTAATCATCCCGGACTGTCCGTGGTACGCTGGAGCGCCTTTGACGGTTGTCCAGGCAGGACCGCAAGCTCATTGAGTTTGTGGGCAGTGAGGCGATTAAAGCCCTGTTGAATGTCACGCCTGATGAAGAGCTCACAGACGAGCCAGAGGTTCCAAAACCTGGGAAGCAGCACTGCTGACCCCCACACAGGGCACCCAGGTAGACGCGTACATTTACGCACACTGTGGATGATACACAGAGCCAGCACAGACACATCGGGCCCTGGGTGTGCAGGTACAAGAACTGGGCTTGACTGTTCAAACAAATATCCCACAGAACATGCAAATTCCCACACCACTGCAAGAAAGCGGGAAGGACAGGATCTGGAAAAGGTCGGTCGCTGGTATTTTCGAAATGGGTGTGCAGCTGTCTTGCACCTTGGCCGAAGGACAAAGTCTTGGAGGTTATTGAGATACTTTCGTGGAGGAGAAACAGGAACTGCTTTCCTGATGGTGAGAGGCGTGTTTGATGGCTGTTGTTGACTCCCTTTGTGACCGTTCGTCCAGGTACGATGGACAGAACTGTGGCCACAGGTTCTGTCTTTTCAGTTACAAATGTCAGGGCTGCTTGTTCATACTGTACGATGGGGGGGGGGAGGTCTTTTGATTTGAGGGCTTTCTTCTCATCTCACTGCTTGGCCTTCTGCCTCGTGGAGAGGCTGGATCATTACCACGACACACGCTCGCCCTCAGATAAAGGCGCCTTTGTGACCCCGGTCCTCGTGAGAGCCTGCTAGTACAGGGGCGGACCAGGGGGTCTGCATCACAGGTAGTGTGATGAGCTGCCTAGGACCCCACAAAATGCTTTCCTTCATTGGCTGCAGATTTATTTAAAGAAAAACAACAATGAAGGTACTACAGTTTGAAAGATTAATAAAATGGATGCAAATGTACTTTCCTGCATGGTCGCATTTATAAATATAGGGTAGGGTCATATACAGCAGGGGTTTCCAGCTTTCATCCCGGGACGGCTATAGGTGTATTTATGTAATACATATAATGTGTATAACTTATACTGTGCACGTAACTTTAATCCTTTATTTTGATAGACGGGGAACTCTTGTAAGTCATACAGTAGAGTTTATTTAGGCAAGAAGAAGAAAGAAACATTGTTTCCTTTTTTCTCTTTTCAGCATACAATAAACCTATTAGTGCTTCCTTTATTTAGCCAAGTCCTGTTAGGGAAAATGAATGTCAACTGCTGTGACCTTGTAGTACGTACAGTATTTTACTGATCGCAGCTGAGAACAAATCAGAATTGTATTAACCTGCTTTTAGCAATTTCAAATTAAAATAATTTGCTTTTAAACATTACTGATATATGAGGTTATATGATTGGTAGTTTCCCAAACTGAAGAAAGCATGTAAAAATACAAATATTAAACACACTTCATTCTTAACAGTAAAATGTAGTTCCATTCCACTGCTCATTTTTTTAACTCATTTTTTAAAATCTTTATTTAAAATTTATTAATGGGGATTAATTAATCCTTATTAACTAATGAATAATTAAAGACTAATTAATAAATAATTCTAAGAACATACACTATGGCACATATTAACAACTATACTGAGCATGTTCAATACTTCATATATAACTGCACAGTTTTAATTTCCAAAGACAGAACACCGACTGCCACCTCAGTAATAACATTTTAGAAGCTGAGTCACTGTTTTGATGCTGGTTGTTTTTGCTTTATGTTTGCAAATGAAATGAGATAACGTATGCAAATTTTTGCAGAAGCAGATACAGTTCATCCACATTACCTGCAGGAGAAAAGCATGTTTATGAAAAATAACCACAGCCGAAGAAGCTAACAATGTACCTGTTCAGTTTACCAAGCCCATTTCCCAGCTCCTCTCTCGTTCTGGGCATTGTGCCTGAGAGCATTTAACCAGAATGCACAGATGAGCGTTGGCACTCGGGAAGAGATAGGAGAGACCGCTTAAATAATGGCTGATTGTTCATTTAGAATATCGTTCCTGGGGGTACCCAGTGTCGGATGGTTTTCATTTCATCTGAACTCTCACTCTCCGGGGATTTTAGATGAGTTTTATTGATCATGCAGGATGGTACTGGTGAACATGCTCAGTTGTGAGCTTCAGGATCACTCCACGTTAAGGGTAGGGTTTTCGCCAGTTCACCCTACAGAACAGTACGCAGGCTTTCCTCAGCTTGCCTGCTACTGTTTTTGCACTCAGACGAGCAGACACAGCTGGGTACGACAGTGTATTAAACCTCTCCAGCAGAGGTTTGACTGGTTGCATTTCAGTCAGTTCCAGCGCTCAGAAACGGGCTCAGGGCTGATACCAATTACGGATCCTATTGGGCCTTTTAAGAGCCTGAAGCTATTTTTTTAAAAAAAATTGCTTCAAACAGAAAAGCGAAGTCGATTAGCCTGCAGTTAAGGACTTGGCTGGAGTGAAAACACAGAAGACACCAGACTCTCCCATAACCAGGGTGGGGAAACACAGAGCCGGAAGAATCGAAGTGTGAAATGACAAAATCAGAATTATATTTCCGCTAAATAAAATGCCGACTGCGAGAGTGGAGGTTGCAAGGTGACCTGTAATATTTAGTGGAATGCAGCAGAGCAAGTATGTGATACAGGTGATGCTAAAGGTCTTCTCCTGTTTTTTTTCTTCCAGAGGACCTGTCATGAAGAATGAGTTGTGTGGGTCTTTGACCAGACCTCCAGCCAGGAGTGACGCGTTCCTTGCCCTGGGATACTATGACCATTGTTGGGACGTGTTGGAGTGAAACGTGTCTAGGGCCTGTCCTCTGCGACTCTCAGCCTCTCGGAGATCCCTTCTGCTCATGGGAGCACTTGTACTCGTTAACGAAAGAAAACAGATTCCTCCCCTTCCTCGAGAGTGTGAAGCATTTTTGTGGGACGTCGCGCCGGGAACATTAATTGCCAGGGCTGTAAGAGGGCGCCTCCTGCCCTCCGGCCCGCTGCTCCTGGTCTTCCTTTAGATGGTTTCCTCATCCATCATGGGCTCCTGCCCCCGGTTCTGCTCCGTCTCCCGGAAGGTCAAGTTCTTCGTGCTGCTGGTGGGCGGCGTCGCGCTCCTGGCCTGGATCAGCACTCTCAGCAGTGCCAGCCACCCCGTCCAGGATGAGCCCCGGCTGGCGCGGCCGCCGGCGGGGATGGGGGGGGGGGAGGGGCACACGGTCATCAAGGAGGCAGCGAGGGACGCCGGGGAGCCTGGGCCGGGGCCAGCCGGGACCTCCGCCCTCGCCCCCTCGCCGGCTCGCCTGCAGCCCTGCCCTCAGCAGTCCCCGCTTCTCCGTGAGTGCTTGTCCTGTTCTTTCGGGGTCCACAGCCTGGGAGGTTGTCCGCTGGTGCTCTGAAGTGCAGTGGCCGTGCAGTCTGCTGGGTGCCGCGTGTTGTATTGGCGGTGCTGGGTGTACAGGACACCCTGTTGTCACGCGAGCTGAGACTGAGGCATTGAGCTTGCGCTGTGTGCCTGCCCGACACATTGCATGCTGTGTTGTTATTCCTCTTGGGGCTCCATCGAGGCTGGGTGCACGTGCCTGCTCTCCTCAGCTGTGCGGGGTCCTCTCTGCTGAGTTGTTGTTGACTCGGACTGTCTGCCGGCATTGTTGTAAGTGTGAGTCAAGCTGTAGAAGTACTGGCGCTTCCTCAGTCAGAATACGGTGGAGGGCGAGTCCCTCTGAGCGGGCCCAGACTCCGCTCTTCCTCTCCCTCCTGTTCTTCCCAAGCCCTGAGCTCGTGGCGCGGCCCCTGGCCGGGCGGAGCCGAGGTCAGCGCGATCCGGGTGTGTGCTTGCAGGCGGCCCGCTGGCGCTGTCCTTCCAGCCCTCGCTGACGCTGGGCGCCGTGCGGCGGGAGAACGGGCAGGTGGCGGCGGGGCAGTACCGGCCCGAGGCGTGCGTGGCGCGGCAGAGCGTGGCCATCCTCATCCCCCACCGGCACCGCGAGAAGCACCTGCTGTACCTGCTGCACCACCTGCACCCCTTCCTGCAGCGGCAGCAGCTCCACTACGCCATCTATGTCATCCACCAGGTACTGCGCCCCCCATTCGCCTGCATGTGCACCCCCTGTGCGGCTCAGGGTTTCGGCTAGGTAATAATAATGGGGATCATAATTCAGGACACTCCACTCAAAGCGCTTTACGGGTCACGGGGATCCCCTCCACCACCACCAGTGTGCAGCCCCACCTGGATGATGCTCCGGCAGCCAGAGCGCACCAGTACTCTCCCCACACACCAGCTCTCAGTGGGGAGGAGAGCAGAGTGATGAAGCCAGTTTAGGGGGCATCCTTCTCAGAACGTTACGTTACGTGTAACTCCCGTAAAAACCTTCCGAACTCCAGGGTGTCAAAGTGTCGCCTTGAATTAGTGTGGAACCGGTTCCCTACACAACACTTAAAATGGTCACTCTGTTTAAACTGCTCTGCAGGCACCCCTCTAGCCTCCTCAAGCCCCACCAGTGAGCCGATTGCCACTGCGTGGTTAGGATGGGAATTGGACATAGAGCTCACACGTCACCTGGGGCTGGTGCAGCTGATCAGTCTGAGTCATGGCTTCTCCTGCCTGCGGTCCTGGCCTTTTATGTAGGTCTGAAGTAGTCTCTTTCATCTTGCTAAGACAGATCTCAAGCCACCTTTCCTCCGTTTCAGTCATTTTCTTTTGTCTTGTAGTTGGCAGTTTATGAACAGGGCAGCAGGGGTTAAGACGTCCCTATGCTCTCCTCCTGGGATAGGACGTAGGAAGGGCCGCTGCAGTGGAAGCGCCGCGTGCCTCCCGTCTGAGCGCGTGTTTGTGTTTGTGACTCCTGGGTCAGGCAGGCGGGGAGATGTTCAACCGGGCCAAGCTGCTGAACGTGGGCTACCTGGAGGCCCTGAAGGACTACGACTGGCAGTGCTTCGTCTTCCACGACGTGGACCTGGTCCCGGAGAATGACTACAACCTGTACAGGTGTGATGACCAGCCCAAGCACCTGGTTGTTGGCCGCAACGCCACTGGATACAAGTGAGTGCGGTGTGGGAGGCTGGAGTGGGCCTGTCCGGGCCCGCGAGGCAGTGATCCTTTCACCTGCTGGGTTTTTCCTGTCTTCTTGGAGGTGGTGTGTATGTCATTGGGGAAAGTCCTGTTCCCTCCATTTTGCACAGCGAACCTTGGAGGCAAGCCTGGGGGCTAACATGGTAATACTGGCTCAGAATGTAGGATTGACATGTTCTCTCATAAACAAACAGAGCCACGTCACAGCTTGTCCTGGTTTCACTAGATTTCAGGAGACTAGAGGGCCTTCAGGCTCGTTTTTCTTATGAACCTGGTTTGTCAGATGCAGCGGTTTCTTGGACAGACAGGGGCGCCTCATGCCTGCGTGCTCCGATCGGGAGATTCTGAGAAGTCACATTCATAATAGTAGCGACCCGAAAGACAACGGCTTCTCTGTCTAACCTCGCAGGCTGCGTTATAAGGGCTATTTCGGAGGGGTGACGGCCCTGACGAAGCAGCAGTTCTCCACGGTGAACGGCTTTTCCAACACGTACTGGGGCTGGGGCGGCGAGGACGACGACCTCCGCATTCGGTGAGAACTGCGGCCCTGCGCCCCGACGTCGCCGAGCACGCTTCTTCGAAACGGCTCCCGTACATTGCCGGCTGTCGCCCCGAATTCCTCCCGGTTCCCTTGCTCGGCGAGTAAAAAGGCGAGTAGCCCCCCACACGGGGTCTCGCACCTCACTGAGAGACCGTCGGGGTCTTTAAAGGGAACGAGAGCCGAGAAAAATGTTCACCTCCGCGTCACTTAGATGCTGTACTGAAGTGTTTGTGAAACTTGAATTATCTCTCAAAGGAAAATTGTGAAACATTTGGATTTGTCATAGCAGGGTTTACAATCTCAGTAGCAACTGGATATCTGCCTACTCATGATAAAACATTCACACCTTATCTGGCAACAGAAGACTAACACAAGAAGAGGCTGTAAAAGTTAATACATGACTGATTGTCCGCACCCCTCCTTTAAGACTCTTGCCCTTTGTATCAGCTGCATGTATATACTTCACCCCAGGGTGCAGGAGTAGAGTATAGATGCTGTTGCAATAGTATGCTCTTCGTATGGATGCCATATGTCCATCCCCTCCTCCAAATTCAACATTTCCTGTGTTAGCAGTTCTTGTGCTATATACAGTACACAGTGGTGCCAGTTCCTCCCAGTTTCGAGTCAATTAGCACTTTACACCCTTTCATGAAAAAAGCCTAACAGCCGAGGAAAAAATGGAGGTTCCTCAGGGGATGTGAGATTTCGGCCAGGGTTGTTTTGAGGAAGGAGAGTCCTAACCCAAAAGAGATATTCTGTTCCTTAATTTCCCATTGGAATTTTTTTAAATAAATGTGGAATAGATGAAAAAATCAGGACATGGAAACCAAATTCAATTATAATTTACTAAACTCTCAATATTTCAGCACAGAAAAAAATATTTGAAAGCACATATCAGCACATCAAAGGAGACACTGAATAATTGAATGTTGATTGTAATGTAAACATTAATTAAAAAATCCATACAGATAAACTATCCTCTCGCTACTTAAAAGATGTGACAGACAGCTATTAAACTGATGATAATCATTGCTCATTTGTTTTCTTTACTGCGTTATATGTAAATTTGAGGAAGTTTCTCTAAACCTTAAAATCCTTATTGTTACCAAATAATCAGAATAGTGTAATATAATACCGTGTTCTATATTCAGTTGGGAATTAAACTACTAAAATGGAAAATCCCAGATTCTTCCCTCTTTATAAATATATATAATTAACATCACTACCCAGTTCACACTTTACTCCAACAACACCAGCAGCTACTAGTAAGGTCAAATTCCATTTGATTGAGTCACCCCTTGGTTTTACTCATAAATGTATTTCCACATGTACGAGAGATCAGGTAGATAACATTTTTAGTACATGAAGTAACCCCTTTTAAAAAGATTTTTACTTCCGTGAGGACCTCTGAAGGAGTCGGCGTTCTTTGTGTTATTGCGTCTGAACCGTTCAGGAAAGGGTAAACGATACGAGCAACGAGCTGCTCCTCTGGACCTGCCACCATCAGGCCAGTCAACTTGTCCTGCAGGGACACCCCGCACGGATAGCACTGCACGCCTGCAGTGTCCCAGAGGCCACAGGGGGCGCTGTGTCACTGAGAGCCGGCTAATCCCATCCTGCCCTCTGTGTGCTGCTCGGGGTATCCCAGTCACAGTCGGCTAGGGACATAGTCTAGGCTCGAACCCGGGATGATGGAACTCAGTCTGTCTGTTGTTTTTATGCGTTGCCCAAAAGCTGGGCCTGGAGGGACTGAATGCCTTGTTGCTGAAGGACAGTGTCGTTTTCCTCTTGATTGAAATGTTCGCATCTCTCACGAGGGACTAGTCGTTCTGTTTCTACTGTGCGGATATGTCGCTTTCCCACAGAGTGGAGCTTCACAAGATGAAGATTGTCCGGCCACCTCCCAAGATTGCTCGCTACACCATGATCTTCCACACCCGGGACAGTGGCAACGAGGTGAACAAGGACAGGTGAGCACGGACATGGACTCAGGGGACAGGTGTGTGTGCTGTAGAGGACAGAGGGGGGACAGACGGGTGTGTGTGCTGTAGAGGACACAGGGGGGACAGAGGGGTGTGTGTGCTGTAGAGGACAGAGGGGGGACAGATGGGTGTGTGTGCTTTAGGGCAGGAAAGACGGGTCTGGTTTGCAGCTAAAGGAACCATTATTTTGCTTACTGTGAACAATGCTCCTTACTTTGAATTGTCCTGCGATCTTTCCAGGAAGTTCCAAATCAACATTAGATATTTATTTCAGGCGCATTACAGGTGCTGTTTAGTAGCAATTGTTGGAATGGAGACTGGATCAATGCTCTCACGTCGTTGTGCCTCCTGTTTCCCGTGGGCTTTCTGCTTCATTGTTAACTGCTTATTCTGAGGAAAATGCCACGTCGCATTCCTCAGTGCCTTTTGAGCACTTTCAGATACTTGAATCAAGTCTCCTTGTGGTCTTCTCGCTTCGAGGCTAGAAAGACTCAGATCTCTGGGTGCGCTTGAGCAAGGTCTCAATCAGGAACCAGCCAAGGAGATCGAGATTTTGGTCATCTGTTGGTGGATATCGTGGACATGCTGATGCCTGTTGTTTGTGGTGGTAGGGCTCCCTCTTGTGGAATGAGGAAGAACTATCATCAAGCCAGACCCGACTACATCACTGTAATATAAAAAGTGATGCGGCGCTGCAGCTCTTTTCCTGGCATTGTCAATGCATTGCCTAAACGAGCCAGGTGCTGTGTGAATAAAATAGTCCTGAGAAATAGGTAATCCTCTTTATGCTGTAAATCTAGCTGAGACGCTTAAAAAAAACGTATAAGGACGGGAACGCAGGATAAAGAGAAAACCAGTCAAGTTTTAACTGAGGTTCTGCAGTCCCACGTTTTTCTTGTGAAGGTCGTGAATACAGGAGTACAGCGCGGTTCAGAGCCGTACAGAGCTGTGTAGGTCGGGCAGAGGAAGGGGCTCCGCTAGCTGACGCCGGGCTGACCCGTGTGCTGTCGTGCGCAGGATGCGGCTGCTCAGCCGGACCCCGCGGATGTGGAGGCTGGACGGCCTGAGCTCCTGCGAGTACAAGCTGCTGTCCGTGGAGAGAGCGCCCCTCTACGTCAACATCACCGTGGACATCGGCCGCCCGCCCCCCCACGCCTGAGGCCATCCTGCCGCGGGGGGAGCGGAAGGTGCCTGCTGGACCAGGAGGGGCTGTGACCCACCAGACACTACAATCACCATGAGCGCCAGGGGTCCGAGTCTCTCCCGCTGCAAACCCGGAGCGCAGCCCGGGCACCGCGAACTGCTGACCGCCCGCAGGAGCGGTGTGAGAGGCGAGTGTACTGGGAAGAGAGCCCGGCCGCTCAGCTACGCATCTCGAACTCTTTTCCTTATCTCATTTTTTATTTGTCTTTTTTAATTCACGCGGCTTCGCGCAACGCTACCGTAGTTGTAGCATAGCTCATTTTGTGCACTGTAACAGGCTCCGAGAATGTACTTTTTTTGAGGAGGGGGGGGTGGGAGGCAAACTGTTACTTGAACCGGGGTTAGAAAATCTGGGTTTTTCAGAGCTTCGCTGTTGTCGAAGTTTGTTTTGTTTTTTTTTCCAGGGTGCAAAGAGGGTGACTTTTGTTTTATGTGTGGGCGTTCCGGTTTTAGTGTTCAGAAGAGATCTCATGCCGTGGGTGGTGTTTGGATGCAGCGGTGGGGTAAAGATGGGGCAGACTGCGTCTGTCACAAAGACGAGTAAAGCCATGGTCTCTTGCTCTTCTGACTCTGGCTGTTTCACTGCTGGCCTGAGCGGGCTGGCTGTAGCTGTTCACAGACACGGTAGTTCGCTCTTCGGAAGAACCCTCTATGAATCCTTTGACGGCACCCCCCGCCCTTCACTCGTACAGAAATGCGAGACGGCGTTTGCACGGTGCTCAGAATGACAAACGGATGCATTCCACAAATGTGTGTGTATATATATATAATTTTACATTTTACGCTCTTGGAATTTACACAAGATGTCTTTCTCCCTGGAATGAAAACAGAAAGACCACGGAAACACGGCGTTATGAATGACAGCAGTGAAGAAAACGTTATCCTCCTGTCCCTCACTTGAAGTAACACAGGCAGAGCCACTGCTGCCCTCATAAGAGCTGAGCGCAGAGAACGAGGCTGGGCCTGGCTCTAGTGGGCGCTGGGGGCCGGGGGAGCTCTGCTGCTGTGTAAGCGGTGAGACAGCGGGTGGCGCTTCACCTCTGTGCCACAGTTTCCAAGCCAGAGCCCAGGGAAGTGGCCGGGGGTGCTGGAACAGGTGCTGTCCTTCAGAGAAGACGTTGCACTGATGCTGAATTCCGAGTCGTTCGGTCTGAATTTCCCCTTTCGTGCCGCTGGAGAAGCTGTTTCTCCCCCTCGTGCAGTGGGGGCTGCAAGGTGTCGCCCAGGTGGGTGTGGGGGGGGCATGAAGTATAAATTAATAACGCGCTGGTGCCGCCCCCCTTCAGTGGGATTCCCCATCCGGTTGGCCCCTAAGGGACACGAGCACCAAATTCAAACACGGGGGTTTGGGAAACACGCTCGGGTAGATAGCCTGGCTCCAATCAAGGACCAGCTGGAAGAGGACCAAGTAGAAATTAGCTACTAATTAAAAAAAAAAACAGCCTTCTCGTATTTCTATGGCCATTACGTTACTTACAGGTCGGGGCCGCTGCATAGTTGGGATGGTTTAAGGCTCTTCAATTGTTAATCCTTAAGCTGCATTTATAGCCTGGGGACTTGCAAAGTACACATTCCACTTTAAACCACAAATGTGCGCTTTCGAACTCGCGGTGAGGTTTCTTTTTTTCTGGTGTGAGTTTAGATCCTAAAAAAAAGTGCAATGCATACATTGAAACAAAACGCATTCTTCTGCTGCTGTCTCCTGTTTTCTGTGCAAGAATGAGTAGGGGTAGGTCCTGCAAAAAAGGCTTTATGGGTACTTGACAATAACAATAGAATAAGAAACTACAGTCTGCAAAAAAGTCAACGTTTTTTTAGGCTTTAAAAAGCATTTATATATATTATCTGTGTACAACCACGTTCACATGAATGTTAAAAAGAAAATTACCAAGTTTGCATATTTACATATTGATTACTACAGAATTACTTTATAGGAGAAAAAGAGCAGTAACATTTTTTTCCAGTTTCAGATTTTCATAGCCTGATAAGTTTGTTCTCTCACTAGATCTTATCATTTTAAGATGATTAACTACATTTTTCTTAAAGGCATTATTTCTATTAGAGATTTTTATCTGTTCAGGCATTTGCATAACAGAACTTTCTAAAAAAATACACATTTTCCTTTTACTTCCACTTTTACTATGGAGTTTAACATTTGTGCCCTTCAGTGCTAACAGTAAAGTCAGAAATACATTTGACATTAATATTAGTTCAGAATTAAAAGCAATAATACAGGACAGCGGTGATTTAATAATGAAATCCACTTTCTCCAGCTGCCCTAGATTCCTTGTTTAGTAAGTGTTGCTCCCAGGATCAGAAGTGACTTGGTGCTGTTCCTGCACTTCCCAGCACAAGACAGAATCCTGTAATCCAGTGTCTTACCGATGCAGCAAAATCAAACACTTTAGGAAAGGGGTGTCTCAAGCCTTGGTGCTGCCTTTTGGAAAATAGCAAACCTGAACTGGACAGGACGTGACTGCAGGAACAGGAACAGGGAGTCTGAGGTGTAAGGTAGCTCAGTGTCTGGGTGCAGTTTGCTGCCACATGACCACATGTACGTTGATTGTCCACAGAAATACTTGGAAGCACCCAGAAACACTAACAATGCTTTATTCTTTCTCAGGAGACGAAGATGCACAGTAATATATCAGCTAGGATACAAAAGTATACTGTATACAGTTGTGTGATTTCTTATTTTTTTGCATGTTTGTCACACTGAAATGTTTCAGATCATCAAACAAATTGAAATATTAGACAAAGA